TGCAACGGGAGAGGCCACAGCAGTGAGAGGCCCGCGTACCGCAAAAATAAATAAATAAATAAATGAAATAGATAAAATGTAAGACACCATATAGGTACACATAGTAAGGATAAGTATTTAAAAAATAAAATAAAATAAAATAAAGAAAATGGAACATTGCTTTAAAAAATATACACATAATTCTTTATTGAAGAACACAAGACAGTCACTGTGTTAATCACTGTGTGTGTGAACAGATATGATGGTACCAAAACATATAGTTAAGTCAGTTGGAATTTTCTGGTATTTACAAACAGAAGTGTTGATGAATTTTTTGGACTCGCCAATTCACTCCTAGGAATTCATCTCCAAGCCTGACTGACATTGAAGGTGACCTCTCTGGCTTATCCCCAAAGACTTCAGATGAGACAGTACAGCCAGATCTTCTGGAGGTCTGCCCTCCCCTCCAGAGCCTCTTGGGCCTGGGAGTTTCTGTAGCCTTAATCCTTTGTTTCATGTGGTCACCCTCACAAAACTTACCCCTCTGTAAATGTAAACGATCTTGTTGACAGCTGCATTCTCTGTTTTTCTCAAAATAGAACACTGTGCAGTGGGGCACAACTATGGTTGCTTGAGCGAGTGAAGGAAGGAATGGACAAATACATTGTTTGGGGCTACATAGGGTTTATCCTAAGGGTTTAAGATGTGTTACAGTTCAGTGACATTTTTAATGAATTCAAAGTCTGATTTAAAACTGTTTCCTTGGCTCCATTCCGTTTCAGTTATGTTCTCCTTTCCATAGATAGTTCCCACTGGTACCCATAGTGAATTGGAGATTGAGAGCCTATTTGGGTGAAACTAGCCATCTGTCTCTCCTGCCAAATGGATGTCAGAGAAGCAGGAATGTTAGAGAACTTGTAGACTGAGTCTCAGAGGGCCACCATATGCACAGCTCCAGGGGGTGCTATTCACATCATGGCCTATAAGGAGGAGTAAGGCAACCCCAGGATCACTGATCTCACCCCTTCTCCTTGCTGGTTTGCCTAATAACTAACTAATTGTTAAATATCTGTTGAGTGAGTGAAAGTCAATACAAGGAACCATGGCAAATACAAGAAGGGAGCATTGAATTCTCTGGGGAATCAGGGAGTTCTTCACAGAATAGGTTCAATTCCACCAATATCTTAAAAGACAGGTAAAAGAACTGGGAGAAGTTTGTCCCGAGCATATGGAGCTGTGAATGTTGAAGCATGGGGCTATACCAAAGCCTGGCATGATTAGAAAGATGGAAAGTTTCAGTGTGTGACGGCAGCACAGGACTAATCCAGTTATGGGCTAACCAAATGTGTGCATCAGACTTCATATTTTACAGCTTTTTTCCTCCTAGAGCAGGTCTGCCTGAGGACAAGCAGGTCAGAATGGGCGTCACTGTCTGAATCACGTGCTGCCACTTGTGTTACCCAAACATCAGACAACTGGATATCTGGGGCCACCACATCCTTTAAAAGTGAAACACAACTTCCCCTGATGGGAAACCAGCATCCCTCCCTAATCTCTGAGGTTTCTCCAGGCACCACTGACTCCATTTCTGGCTTCTGTGTTATCTCCTCTCAGAAGGAGATAGATACCATCTGACAAACCAGATCCCTCCATCCCCCAAAGGCACCACTGGCACAAAGCCATCTGCATAGGGAGTTTTACTGAGGGTTTAAAAGTATGAGTGAGTTACAACACAGTGCAGCCAATTAATAGCTTCCGACAGACTGTTAAAAAGCCCCTTCATTCCACCCCTGGAAGGTTCTCCAGGGGGGGGGGGGGGGGTGGGGGCAGGGCAGGGGCTGGCAGTTTTCTGGAGCTCAGTTCCACTCTTCTGCTGACCGCCCACAAACCCCTGATTCCTACGGCTTTGCTAACACAAAGCAATTCAGCTCATCCAGTCTGTCCTCCATTTATCATACTGGGGGTTTTTCCCCTCCCTGCGACATCCTTAAAGGGTAGTTTGAGGGGGACTTCCCCCAAAGCCCTTATACTTGATTAGAGGTACAAATTCACCTCAGGTGCTGCCAATTCTGTTAGTGGAATTGCTGGGGACTATGATTTTACTCCATCAGTTTTTGGCCAAATGAAAAAAACACATCAAAGATTCCCTTCTCTTCTGAAGACTGCAAAACCCTCCCGTCTCTAGAATGTGTAAACAGAGCCATGGTAACTGCAGGGAAATTCTGACTCTCCCTTTGGTCAAACCCTGGGCCTCTGTGTTGTCTTTTGCTGTTGTTTGAGTTTGGCAGGCAAGCTCGGGTCAGGGGATTAAAGGCAGGCTTGGTGTATCAGGAACGCGTGGAGCGGTCTGCAGTCTCGGCATTTCCCGTGTGGGACGTGGGCCCTGCACATGCGCAGAAGGCCGGCCCAGCCTGGGTACCCAGGCACCGCGGAGTAGAGCCCCTGGGGCGGGAAGAGATGAGCGGGAGGGTGCTCCGTGTGCAAATATAGGGGGAATCCCGGACGAGGCATCAGCAAGCCAGATCGGAACTTCTCTTCGTTTTTCTGGATCTGACTATCCTCTTCTGTGCAATGAAAAGGCTCAATTAGATGGTCTGTAATGTTTGTGCTCCTGTCATTTAAGAAATTAGGAAACTCATAAGACCTTTTCAGCGCCCTAATGAATAAAAGCAGCTTTATTCTTGGAGTTTTTTACATTCTTGGTGGTATGTTCAGTTTAGGGTGACTTAATTTCAGTTAAGTCCTTTGAACAAGGCACTAGACCAGGCATGCCCAGGCTTTTTGAAGCCATGTTTCATGTATGACACACAGACACACTCTGGTGGTAAAGTTTAACCATATAAAGTTCCTGGTTGACATCATCATCAGAAGCTTTCTGAAATTATATCATAAGGTAAAGTACTGTGAGCTATAGTATTTTCCTGCTTGGGTCTTTTTTTTTTGCTTTTGCTTGTTTTTATTTATTATTTTGCCATGTTTTATAGTCAGAAGTCTTCAAAATTAGCAGCTACAAGGGTTGAGAAGTAGAAAACTAGCATTTATTTGAAAGCATCAAATGGTTGGAAAAGCAGAACAAAAAAGGGCAAAACCTTGAATTTTGTCAACACTGAGAAACAATCAAATAATAGTGTGGCTGCCTGGGCTCAAATCCATCTCCACCACATTCAAGCTGGTGACTCAGTCACTTAATCTCTCTATTCCTTCTCTGTAAAATGGGTGTAATAGCACCAACTACCTCAGTGGCTATTTGTGAGCTAACTGGTTTATTTTATTTTATTTTTCATCTCTGGAAACCAAATTTTATTAGAAATACGAAAACAGGATAAAACCTTTGAGACAATTTCTTGTCTGTTGGGCCTTTTCTTCCCAGGTCCCTTAATTATCAGATCTCTATTGTAAGGGATCCAAATACATCTTAAGAGTTTTGTCTTACCCATTAAATTTATCTGACCACATATAGGTTTGAAAGATTAAAGATGAGCTAACTGGTTTAATATTGATACATGTCAAGCGCCCAGAAGAGTGACCGGCACATACACGGTAAAGGGTACATAAATCCAGCTGTGGTTATCGTGAATTCAATACTTGCAAATATCGAGCACCTACTGTACACTAGGCTCTGTGCAAGATTTAAAATATAAGGGTCAACAGAATCCACTGTGCCTTCAGGGCACACAGTCCCACGTCCAAGAAGGACATATACGTTGAAGAGAGAGAGAGACACAGAGAGAGACTGACCCATTCTGCTCACCTGCCAGAATGTCGCAAGTCCTCTGGTCAGCGGTGATCACTATGTATTCATGTGTTTTTTTGAATTTTTAAAAAGAAGCCTGCCTATTGCAAGCACAGCAGGTCACCCTGGGAGTCTTAATGTGTTACGTGTTACTGTTTTGCTTTGTCATCTCCGGCTCTGATCTCTCTTCTGCCGACCCGTGCTTTATACCCTGCCCCATGTATGGAATGCCCCTTTCCATACAGTGACGGCCCCACATGGGACTCTACTGCCTCCACAGATGCCTGCAACACAAGTCTGTAGGAGGCCCGCTTGTTCTGAGCTCATCCTGCTGCTTTGCTGACCCCTTTTTTAGCTTCCTTTCCCTTCCCAGGAGGGAAATTACACCACCACCTTATAGCCCATCCAGGACCGTAGATGGTGAGTTTTTCTCCCCACAACAGGAATAATCACAGTGCCAGGATGAGGAACAGTTTTGCTGATTATCCTTCCCTTTTCCATCCATAAACTTACAAGCTCCTTCATTTTGAAAAATATAATCAGGGCTAACTTCCTGTCTCTGAGCTAAGTTGCAGACACTGAGTTCACTGCTTTATTTGAATCATCTCATTTAGTTTATTTGTAAATTCAGCAGATAATTCTTGGGCATCTACCACGTACTAGATGCTGTTCTAAAAGCTGAGAAGAGAATAGTAAATACGACAAATAACCAGAAGTCTCCTTGGAACTTACATCCTGGTGTGCAGAGACAGACAATAAATAAATAGCAAGCCATGGTAAGAGCTAAAAATAAAAATAAAACAGATTGATGGGACGAAGAGAGTGGGACTACTTGAGAAGGATGTCCAGGAAAGGCCTCTCTGTGGAGTGATAAGAAGGATGCAACCATGAAAAGACCAGGGGAAAAGCCATTCCTGGACAAGGGAATGCGCACAGTCCCTGAGACAGGAATGCACGCAGAATATTTGAGGGCCAGAGAGAAGGGGAGCGTGGTAAGGAAGAAAGCTGGAGAGGTGAGCAAAGGCCAGAGCTCGCAGGGCAGAGTCGGGGTTTGGAATTTATTCTGCTGCTTTGTGGAGCATGGATCGTAGGTAAGAGGGCAGCAGGAAGGTCAGTTAGGAGACCACCTCAGTATCTAGGAGAAAGCTTATGGGGCCTTGAGACCAAGGTGGTGGAGGTGGGGATGGAGGTACAGTTGGAGAAGTCACACATTTGGAATCTTTTAGAAGTAGGGTCAACAGAGCTCGCTGGGAAATTGAGATGAGGTGGGAGAGGGACAGTGGGGGAGAGAGAATTCAAGAGTGACTCCTAGGCAGGGGGAAAGACTGTGGGAGGAGCAGGTCTGAGGTGGGGAAATCAGGACTTCTTTTTGACTCGGTATTGCTTTGTTTTGTTTTAACCTCTTTAGTGGAGTATAATTGCTTTACAATGGTGTGTTAGTTTCTGCTGTATGACAAAGTGAATCAACGATACGTATACATATATCCCCATATCTCCTCCCTCTTGCGTCTCCCTCCCACCCTCCCTATCCCACCCCTCCAGGTGGTCACAAAGCACCGAGCTGATCTCCCTGTGCTATGCGGCTGCTTCCCACTAGCTATCTACCTTACGTTTGGTAGTGTATATATGTCCATGCCTCTCTCTCGCTTTGTCACAGCTTACCCTTCCCCTTCCCCATATCCTCAAGTCCATTCTCTAGTAGGTCTGTGTCTTTATTCCTGTCTTACCCCTAGATTCTTCATGACATTTTTTTTCTCAAATTCCATATATATGTGTTAGCATACGGTATTTGTCTTTCTCTTTCTGACTTACTTCACTCTGTATGACAGACTCTAGGTCTATCCACCTCATTACAAATAGCTCAATTTCGTTTCTTTTTACGGCTGAGTAATATTCCATTGTATATATGTGCCACAACCTAAGTGTCCATCATCGGATGAATGGATAAAGAAGTTGTGGCACATATATACAATGTTTCACATTTAGTAGTGTGTATATGTCAATGCTACTCTCTCACTTTGTCCCAGCTTCCCCTCCCCCCTCCCCGTGTCCTGAAGTCCATTGTCTACGTCTGGGATTCGGTATTGTTGAGATGTTGATTAGTCCCCCAGGAGGAGATGTCCGTGTCAACGGAGTTCAGAGGAGTCAGGGATGAAGATGTAAATTGACAGGTCATTAACATGTAGATGGGATTAGATGAGATACCCTATAAAGGAGTAGAGATGCAGAAGAGAACAGGTCCCAAGAATACACAACAGTCTAACCACGTCGTGCTGCTCTTTATTCCCACTTTACAGGTAAGAAAAATAAGCTTAGGTAGGTTAAGTGATTTCCCAAGGCCCCAGGAAGCGGTAGCACTGGGATTTAACCCAGGCAGTCTACCCCTATCCGCTTTGCGATAGTGGACACATACATACAGCAATGGTGCTTTGCTTCCTTCATGTGTCACAATCTCTCTGCAGGAAGAAGATGACGATGGTCTGCCTAAGAAAAAGTGGCCTACAGTAGATGCCTCTTATTATGGTGGGCGAGGCGTTGGAGGCATTAAAAGGATGGAGGTAAGAGGACAGCTTCATGTACTCATATCTATGTGCTGACTACTCAGGGACGGAAAACCAAAGCAAATTGGTGAAAACTCACACCTGAGGTCTAATGAGGATGTGAACTGTGAGGCATCAGATGCAGACATGGCGGGTACAGCCTTTTACCTGTGCACTCCTGTATCTTGCCCACTGTGAGTCAGAGCAGTTCGCGCATTGGCTCAACCCCACCCGCAGTGGTTTCTTCTCTCACTGGAATAAAATCCAAAGTTCTTGCCTGGGCCCACAATGCCTTTGCATGTACTGTCCCCACAGCCTGGACAGTTCCTCCCCCAAATATCCATGCCCCTCACTGCCTTTCTCTGCTCCTTTAGCCCTCCCCCTTTCCCTTTTTCCATACCACTGCTCTTCCCTGACCCTCAAAACCCAAAGGAAATGAGGACTGGGTAGCACATCATACAGTTATTTGTGATTCTCGTTCTCCAGAGCTGTCATATTTTATTTTGTCGTTTTGGTTTTTTTGTATGTTATTGATTTTAGGTTCGTTGGGGAGAAAAGGGCTCCACAGAAGAAGGTGCTAAGTTGGAGAAGGCAAAGAATGCAAGAGTCAAGATGCCAGAGCAGGAGTACGAATTCCCGGAACCACGAAATCTCAACAACAACATGCGCAGGCCCTCATCCCCCCGGAAGTGGTATTCTCCGATCAAGGTGTGCCTCTTTCTACTCAAAAACCCATCCTCAAAATCCCATCCTCACTCCTCCTAAAACACTTACATAGTAAGAATCAGAATCTTTTGGTATGATAAAATATCAAACCAAAATCCAGCTTATCACAAAGAAACAAATGTCTAAAATCATGGACTTGAAAGTATAAGTGTGTACTTTCTCAGTTTCCACAATATCAAGGTGAGAGCTAGGCTTTTTTAATGGAAGTATAGTTGATTTACAATGTTTTATTAGTTTCAGGTGTATGGCACAGTGATTCAGTTTCATGTATATATATATATTCTTTTTCAGATTCTGTTCCATTATAGGTTGTTACAAAATATTGAGTATAGTTCCCTGTGCTATACAGTAGGTCCTTGTTGGTTATCTATTTTATATATAGTAGTTTGTATCTGTTAATCTAAAACTCCTAATTTATCCCTCCCTACCTCCTTTCCCTTTTGGTGACCATAAGTTTGTTTTCTATGTCTGTGAGTCTGTTTCTGTTTTATAAATAAGCTCATTTGTATAATTTTTTTAGATTCAACATATAAGTGATAGCATATGGCATTTGTCTTTCTCTGTCTGACTTACTTCACTTAGTATGACAATCTCTAAGTCCTTCCATGTTGCTGCAAACGGTATTATTTCATTCTTTTTTACAGCTGAGTAATATTCCATTGTATATATATACCACATCTTCTTTATCCATTTATCTGTTGATGGGCATTTAGGTTGCTTCCATGTCTTGGCTATTGTAAATAGTGCTGCTATGAACATTGGGGTGCGTGTTATGTTTTTGTCTTTTCTGGATATATGCCCAGGAATGGGAGCTGGGCTTTTTTAAATCACCATGGCAAAGTGGTGGAATGAGAGTGGGCTAGGAGAAAGTGACATGCCCAGTAACCCCAGAGGATCATTATAAATTACAGTAACATCTGGTAACTTCACTGGTAGGAAATTCCATAGTCTAACAACAATGGCAGGATTGTCCTTAATGCCTAATCTCTGTTCCTCTCGCCATAACATAAGCCCATCTCCCTTTATTCAAGCCAGGCACTGGTGTATCAGGACACGCTAGTGGACAGTGTTGGCCATAGATCTGATACTCACTCTTCCTGGCTGTGAGCAAAATGCCTTATTTCTCCAGCATCTCTCTTCCCCCCGCCCCCCACAGCTCCAGAGCTCAACTAAAACCCTCTTTGACTTACTGGGAAATTTAAGTCATAGGAGGCAGTTAATGCTTCCTAAAGTCCTCCTTTCTCTTCCTCTTGGGTGCAGGTATCTTTGAATTCATGTGATTCATCCAACACCCTTGCTCTGTGGTCTTGCCCATAAGCATCTACACTAAGCCGGTTATCAAAGAGCACTAGGAAATCGTAGCTAAAAAGACTGACATAATGTGTCCCCATTCCCTCGTTTCCTGCCATGGAAAACTGAGATGGTAGAGTCCTTGCTCTGCCCAGGTCTGGAACCCAAGGCTCCATCCCAGGTCTACGGCCTCTAGTTCTGTGCTGCAGACAGAACTATGCCAAGTCCAAGGACTCAGCGAAAGATTCAATATAAGAACCAGCTCTCACTCGTCACCACCCCATACACACACACACACACACACACACACACACACACACACACACAGGTTTACCCTTCTACCAGTGACAACAAAAATAACACTCATCATTTGCTGAGATATTTGCTAATTTTAGAGCAGAGTTTCTGCCATGAAATCAAAAGAAATAACCATTTTAAACAGTGGAGGGAAACTTTCTTAGTAGTTGTCTCTGCTCCGCAGACATACCTCACGCTCAGACTAATCGCGGTGCGTTTCCATTTTGGTTTGACGTGTTTAACGTGGTGAGATTCTTTAGATAAGCCACCCCTCCCCCCAGGGCAATGGGTTGAACTCTGGAAAAATGTAGGCAAAATGTGGCTTGCTTGACTAACAGCTATTCGCTTCTAATTATTTTCTAATGTGGAACATGCAGTGGCGTGCATACATGTGCAGACAGGAAGGAGCCAAGTAGAATCTCAGAGACGAAGACGAAAGGGGATTTTCTGTTGTGTTGTTTTCAGGAATCTGTACCTCGTGACTAATACAACATATTTGGTAAGAGCCAGGTTTTCATCTCTGTAATCTTGGACGTTGAGAGAACATTCATTCTATTTGAAGAATTCAATTTCTGCTTGAGAGCATGTTATTCATCTGTTAACTAGTGGTTTAGGACTGAGTTTTACGAAATAAATGAGGATATGGACAACTAGATTTAGAAATCTCAAAACACTCCCAACACACAGTTGGAATTAGATTCAGTTCAATTGAGTATTTGTTGTGCACCTACTCTGTGCCAGGTACTGCTGGCTATTGAGTATATAGAGGGTCTCAAACTTGGCTGAGAATCAGAATCACCTGGAAGAGCTTTAAAAATACAAATTCCCAGGCCTGATGTCTCAAACCTAATGATTCAGTCTCACAATAGGCTTTCAAAGGCTCTCTGGCCTTCACAACCTGCCCACTTTTTCTCATCAGGTGAAACTCCTTTTTTCCCCAACGCCTCCCTTTTCAAATTTCTCATCCAAACTCCCTAAGTGAGACCCCTCTGTTTCCCTTGCCCCAGTTATCGCTCCCTCCACAGCCCCTGCTCTTCAGCCTTGGTCACTGTGTGTGTGTGTTTGTGTGTGCGTGTGTTTGTGTGTGTGCGTGTTGTGTGTTTGTGTGTGTGTTTGTGTGTGTGTGGGCATTATGTGTGTGTTTGTGGTGTGTTTGTGCGTGTGTGTCTGTGTGTGTTATGTGTGTTTGTGTGTGTTATGTGTTTGTGTGTGTGCGTGTCATGTGTGTCTTTGTGTGTGTGTCTCTGTGTCTCTGTATGTTTCTGTGTGTCTCTGTATGTGTGTGTGTGCATGTTATGTGTGTGTGTGTCTGTGTGTGTGCGTGTTATGTGTGTGTGCTGTGTGTGTGCGTGTTATGTGTGTTTGTGTGTGTTGTCTGTGTCTGTGTGTATGTGTGTGTATGTGTGTGTCTGTGTGTTATGTGTGTTTGTGTGTGTGTTATGTGTTTGTGTGTGTGTCATGTGTTTGTGTTGTGTTTCTGTGTGTGTGTGTGTGTCTCTGTGTCTCTGTGTGTATGTTTCTGTGTGTCTCTGTATGTGTGTGTGTGCATGTTATGTGTGTGTGTGTCTGTGTGTGTGTTTCTGTGTGTGTGTGTGTCTGTGTCTGTGTGCATGTTATGTGTGTGTGCGTGTGTTGTCTGTGTCTGTGTCTCTGTGTGTATGTGTGTGTCTGTGTCTGTGCGTGTGTGTTCTGTATGTGTATCTGTGTGTGTGCATGTTATGTGTGTGTTTGTGTGTGTGTCTGTGTGTTTGTTTCTGTGTGTGTGTGCCTGTGTGTCTGTGTCTGTGTGTGTTTGTGTGTGCGTGTTATGTGTGTGTGTTTGTGTATTTGTGTGTGTGTGCGTGTTACGTTTGTGTGTGTGTTTATGATGTGTGTGTGTCTGTGTCTCTGTGTGTGTGTATGTGTGTATGTATGTCTGTGTGTGTCTGTGTTCTGTGTCTCTGTGTGTGTGCATGTTATGTGTGTGTGTTTGTGTGTGTCTCTGTGTGTGTCTGTCTGTGTGTGTGTCTCTGTGTGTGTCTGTGTTTGTGTGTATGTGTTTGTGTGTGTCTGTGTGTGTGCGTGTTGTGTGTGTGTCTCTGTGTGTGTCTCTGTGTGTGTGTCTTGTGTATGTGTTTGTGTGTGTGTGTCTGTGTGTGTGTGTGTGTGTGTCTGTGTGTTTGTATGTCTGTGTGTGTGTGTCTGTGTCTGTGTGTGTGTGTATGTGTGTGTGTGTGTGTGTGTGCTGGTTCTCAGAGTGTGGTGCCTGGACCAGCAGCAGCAGCATCCCCCAGGAACTCGTTAGAAATGAACATTCTCAGGCCCCACCCCAGATCTACCAAATAGGCAACTTTGGGGGTTGGGCCTAGTGACCTGGGTTTTATTTTTAGCAAGCCCAGTTAATCAGTTGTCACCAAGGTTACAGCCAGCCTTCCAGAGGAAGCTTCCTGAGGGCGGAAGCTGTGGTGCATGGCAAAGCGTCCACAATCATGCCTCAGAGGTTTGTCGGGAGTCTCAGCCAGGAGACCTTGTTAGTTTTCACACGGGCCTATGGTTCCCACAAACAGAGCTGCTGGATTAATGTTAAGTGGTTGGAAAACTGAGTGTCAAAGAATCACCAGAAAAGCCAGATGGTAAAAACCTGTGATGCTGGTGGGCTTGCTAAGCGTCAGTAGGACTCCCTTGTTAGGACAAGAAGAAGTGTGAATGCTCCTCCTGCTGCTGGAGCAGCTCACACCACGGCTTACTTAGCACACTCATTGTACCATAGCTCTTTTGTGTAACTGCTCCTGTTTATGAGTCTTCCCTCACCAGATTTGAGCCCCCTGAGGCACCAATTATGCTTAACTCATCTTTGAATCACCCATAAACAGCAGTGTACCTTGCACGGAGTAGGGATTCCACCATCTCTTGTTGAAGAGACATGTGGGACGTAATTATGAAACAACTCCTAGAGCATCAGGCCAGATAGACTTTCTCCTGTGACCCACAGAAATCACTTAGGTACTCTCGATCCAAAGAAGGTGACATTCTTCTTGCCATCTCTTTGAGGAAAGGAGAGCAAAAGAGGTCATCTTATGTGTATCTGGACAGGTGGGCGAGGGAAGGGCGAGAACAAGGAAGTTTGAGAGTAGAAGCACAGAAAGGAATTCAGAAGTCATAATGTATACTGTTTGTCCAGAAAAAGTACGGACTTGCTACCAGAACTTCAGCCTTCACACTGTTTAACCCAATGCATGGTCACGATGAGCCACATTCTAGCCACAATGTCTATACACATTCACTAGGCCTTGGGCAAAACATTCAGCCTCATGCTGTGCCATAAACTCTGCTTCCCTTTCCTGAACCCTCTCACCAGATTTGTCACAGTTCTGGCAGGAAACAGAAGGCACCCTCAAGAGGGTTGAAATCACACA